ATTAATTCTGGCCATCTCATATCGGCAGATGAGAAAGAAGCAAACCATGTCGGCTTTCCAAGCTGTCGTACCATTGCGAGAACATCTTTTTGTGTCTTTTGCCAGAATGGAGGTGTTCCACGAATTTGCTTTAAAAATTTATAGCCCTTGTCTGATTTTAGTATTTTTTTAACTTTCTCTGCATCTTTCAAATCTGAGGCAGTTATTGAAGACGAATCATCTTTTTTGTTTGGACTTTGCCTTAAAGCAATAGAAACTTGTGATATAACCTGTTGAATTTCATAAATATATTGTGCATAAAAGATGTAATCTGTATTCTGAGCAAATCTATTGTCCACGTGCATCAGTCGGTTATGCAGATAACGTCCTAATGTTATTTTTTCATCTCTTCTATCATGGAATGTTGGTTGACCTTTAGGAAATAATACTGGGAAACATTTGGCCTCATTGCTTTCATCTTGTAGAATTGATACAGGGCTTCTTCCTTCACAAGGAGCACAACATATTATGTCTTCAAAATACTGATCTAATATTTCCTGTCCAATATCTACTGGCTGGAGACACGAGTCTAACTGAATACCGCGTAATCGTTCTTCCATATCGTCTTCAGTGTCCTTGTCATCTATTTTTTTGTGTAGTTTACTGTTGTCTTGCATGTTTTCATTAGCATTTTTGTCTTCGGACAAAATGTAATCAATTTGTTCTTCCATTTCCTTCCAATATTTTGCTAAACGAGCTTTACCGATTTCCACTGCTTCTTCCTTTTCATTATCTTTTTCATTTCGTTCAAGTGAGTTTTCCCATTTATCATTTACTGTAACATCAAAATACCACTTATTATTTGCTTTTAAATACTGCAGAGCATTAAGCAAGTTAGATTTATCTACAAATTTGTACTCATAATAGCTTTTGTACGACAATTTTCTTTTGAGTTTAACACGGATCAATTGATCTTCAGTCTGTGGTCTTGGCAACATATCTACTGTTTCATAAGTGTTTGAAGGCACGCACACGACTGGGCCATGGACTCCATTTTGACCACCTTTAGGCAAGGCCATTAACTTCATGAAAGGGATATTCAATGCAATCAAATGCTGTTCTAAATTGTTCAGATTGGCAAGTTCTTTTGGAACTTCATGTAGTTGTAAATTGTTCATATTTGCTTCTGCAGGTACTTTTCCAGCTTGCAATTTTCTATGACAGGTGAAGCATATCCATAGTGACGATCTGGCTGACTGGCCTATTAAACATTTTGACCGGCATTCTGAATTGCAAACATGCAAATATTCTTCACTTATGCATGTCTGAATTTTATAATTACTCTTTTTACATTTCAATACTTGGTTGTCAAAGAGAAGTTTTAAGCATACACAGCACACATATTCTGGGCCATGAGAAATTATCTTTCTAAATTCTTCAAGTACAATATCAAACTCAGACAATTTTACTGTTCGAAGTACAGACCTTTTTCGATTTTGTTTTATTACATTTTGCCTATATTTTTCAATTCTTTTATATTTCATTTTTAAGCTCATCAATTTCTTGACCTTAAATTCTTTGCCTTTATATCTAATTTTGGACAATATTTTCATATTTGCCTTTTTTATAAGTTTGAATTGTTGATCGTTGTGATATAATCCCGTCATTCGTTTTTTCATGGTACCTCGCTGTTTTTGCTTGAAACATTCATTGTTGCGATATAATTCCTTTATTCGTTTTTTCATGGTATCTCGCTGTTTTTCCCGGAAATGTTCATTGTTCAAATATTTACTTCTTATTCTACTCTTGTGCATTCGTTTAAATAATTCATCATGCTCATATTTACTTCTTATTCTACTCTTGTGCATTCGTTTAAATAGTTCATCATGCTGGTATTTACTTCTTATTCTACTCTTGTGCATTCGCTTAAATAGTTCATCATGCTGGTATTTACTTCTTATTCTACTCTTGTGCATTCGTTTAAATAGTTCATCATGCTGGTATTTACTTCTTATTCTACTCTTGTGCATTCGTTTAAATAGTTCATCATGCTGGTATTTACTTCTTATTCTACTCTTGTGCATTCGTTTAAATAGTTCATCATGCTGGTATTTACCTCTTATTCTACTCTTGTGCATTCGTTTGAATTGTTCATCGTTCCAATATTTATTTTTCATTTTAATCCTCATAGCTGTTTTAACATTTTCTTTGAATCCTTCATTTCTCAAATATTTCTGTTTATTTTTATACAAAATTTTCTTTTTATAATGTAAATCAGAATGATATTTGGTTTTCATAATATTTAGCTGTATGTTCCTCAAAATTGAATCCTCTTTATACGTTTCTTTTTGTCTTTTTTTTACTTCATTTATTTTTTCCATTTTGTAGGTTAATTCATATTGATATTTATTTGTCTTTTTAATCGTATTTTTCCTTTTCCTCATTTGCGCATTGTGAATACACTTTTCCTTTTTCTTAATGATTTCATCCTTGGTCAAGGCTCGTTTTTCTCTCATTTGCTGTCTATTGCGCTTCCTAGTTTGATTATAACTTTGTTGTGTTTACGTTTTTTCTTTCCATGGTCTACATTTCCAACAAGAACTTCTCCAATTATTATTAATTCGTCATTACTATCAGCACATTCGCTTGCATCAATTCTTAAGCTGTCGTTCTCATTCGTTTTCACCAATTTGGTTTTTCGAATTTCCTTGCCAAGGTCGACATCAACTTTTGCATCGCTTTCGAGGTTACTCCATTTTCGTTTTCTGCTTAAGGTAGAGTTGAAATTCTGAGCTCTGTTCACTAAATTCAATCTATCAGAGTCATTCCCGCGTTTAGTACAATTTTTTGAATCTCCTTTTTGTTCATTTTCATATTTTGTATTTATAGAGTCATTTCCGTTCAGAAGACAACTATTATTTAGCTGTGATTCTTTTAATTTGGTTAAGCCAATTGTCACACTTTTCAGTTTCAATTCCTGACCGTTATAATGTACATGCTGAATGATCGTTTCATTTGCTTCTTCAGGGAAGAGAAATACATTTGGGTTATCAATCATCTTTTGTGGGGAAACACTCTCATCCAATATTTGAACTTCATCAAAGCTTTCACAATGTATGGAACATCCAGAGCTTCCAGACTGACTTTCACTGTGCGTATTTGACGAAGGAATTGGATTACAAACAAAATCCTGTAACTGTGGATAGCCTTTCAAGGTTTCATTCTTACCGGAAGTTGCTTTAGCACATACACTAGTTACTTCATATTCGGTGTGCAGGGGGCATCCCATTGATTTTGCTAACCTCATGCAATGCTTGTACACACCTTGCCAGCTTTGAGTACGAAGTACAACACTGTGTCCGTTACAACTCAGGAAACCTCGACTGCTTCTGGAATGTGAATCAAATATAAAGAAACCATCTTGACCAGATAATACAATGAAAGTACTTCTAGCAAATGTCACAAAACATGCATCAGAATCAGTACAGAGTTCTTTTTCGAGTGCTTGCTTCAATGTCATCGAAAGAGACTGGGCCAATATCAATTCATCTCCATCTAACAATCCAGTGACTGGTTCACGGCATACTATGTTAAACAATTCATTGTACGCATCCAAATATTCAAATAGATCAGATATCAATAAGTATTGGTTGTCGAGTGAAGTGGATCGCCGTATGTAACAATATAATTCATTACCGTTATTCAAAATCCTGTCTAGATCTGTACTTTTCCAATCATTGGCATTTTTTACCTTGCTATACAACAGTGCAGAAAGTGAATTGGTAACACACTGCTTTCCACTTAAGTCACCAAATCTTGTATCACCTTGATTGAATGTCCCTTGGGCAACAAGCGTTATTTGTGTATCGACTCTCGTGCATTTGTCTTTGTGATCACTTTCAAGGGTTTCGTCCTTGGTGTTACGTTCGTTGTGAACGACTGATTCAGACTGATTACTTGCACACTGTTCATATGTCATGTCCAAAAGATTTGCAGTACCTTTCCTCTCATCGTGATTTATCGTACCAGTCTCCAACGTGAGCCTACGTTTTTTTCCCTTTGGATCAACATGGTTTTGAAATGTTTCAGGAGACTTATCCACTACTTCATCAATTTCTTCCTCTATCTGCGACTTGGATCTACACTTCTTCAACACATGCTTTACTTTAACATCAGCCTGAATTGATGGACATGGCAAAGTTCTCTTTGACGTTCTATCTTCTTTAGTTGTTCTTGTCTGTTCTAATGAATTGAAATTGACAAAATCTACAGATTCAACAACATTAAAATGAACATTTCCTGTGTACAGTATATAAATTCCCTTATCAGATGTAACAATATTGATTCTTCCAGGTTTCTTTGCAGAGTACAATTGCCAACATGGTACTTGGTCATTGTATGAATAAATATCAGTATCGATTAAATTTGCTAAAGCGCTAATTTCAGTGTCTGTAGCCCACGTTCCGTCTTCCTTTATTCTACGTTTCAAAACATATTCTCTGACTGTTCTATATTCTTGCCTCAATGTATTACTAAACATGTCCTTGGTTTGCAATAAATGTTTCACAGTGGCATTTCTTAAAATTGCATGATTACGCTCAGTTCCAGAAATTACATAGGAAATTGCACGAAAGAAACAATTGCCATCACCAGTAATTTGTTTACTCTGTAAAGGAACTCCAATAGAGCTATTTCTATCTAACCTTGAATCACAGCCTTTGCCTATATATCTGATATTCAGTTTTGAACAAATGTTCCGTTTGTCATTATTCTGGAGGGGTACAAATTTGAAATCTTTATCTGGTCTATCACGTAATCCAAGATCTGCTACAAATTCAACTTCTGTTTCTGTTTCATCAGTACATGTGTACATATTAGCATCTATTGCCTTTTCAATGTCTTCATCTTTGATATTTGAATCTGAAGAAGATTCTAAAGGATTCCTTGAATGAGCATGATCATTAAATGACATATCAGTATCATTGTCTGTACCATCTTTTACTGTATCAAAGCTTCTATTCTCAGGTCATTGTCATACACTGCATCTTCTTGTACACCATCTGAAACATCTGAAAAATCATTTTTCATCATATCATCATTTTCCAATACCGATTCACAGACATTGTCTACTGGTTCATTTATGGGCATATCTTTTGGTCTATCACAAACATTCAAAGGCATATTGCGTTGTGGTAAAACACTTCTATCGCATAAATCACATCCAGGACTTGTGTCTGTATCACTATCAGATTCTATACAATTTCTTGCACACGAACGTTTCACTGGTATATGAACATCACTGCCACTATCATCGTCCGTTTCAATTTCCCCATTTTCATCAAAATTTGATTTCAACAGATTATTCTTTGAATCGTCCTGCACAACTCCATCTGAACCTTTGTTGTCTTTCATATTGCAAATATGCTGGTCTGAGTGTGTATCATTTTTACATGTATTTGTATCAAGTCCTTGGTCACCTGCATTCATCGATATCTTTGTATCCTGCTTCTCATTCTTTACTGCTAATTCTATTCCTTCATCTTTGTCAAATCTAATCTCCGATTTATCAGAAGAGTGATTTCCATCAGTACCTTTTTTCCCTTTGGAAGACTGACCTTTCTTGTTCCTTGCTCGACCTTTCTTGTTCTTTGCTTCTTTTTTCTTGCCACCAGCATGAACTCTGTACTTTCGCAAATCCTTGATCTGTTCAAAAAGATTACAAGTACATACATCGATATCAACACATGTATCTGTTCTAGATTGAGTTGGCAAATTGCTTGCTATGTCTGCCCAGGATCGTGTTTGTGCTGTTTCACTTTGCACACACATGTCATTATACAACTTCATTGCATGTGGGGACTGCACACTGTAGGCATATAAACCTAAAAGAGTTTCTGTGTAAGATTGAACACTGATATCTTTTTTCTCGGATTTCACCTTCTTTTCTTTACAATCAACTTTCTTTCGGTCTTCCTTTTTTTTTCTGCTATGGCTTTCATAGAATGTCTTCATTGCTTTGCCGATGTAAGTTACACCAGGTTCTAAGACTTTGCCATTCACCGATTTTCTTCTGATTTTCCTGTCTGTTTGATGATCATCTATTGATTTGGGATACAATTTTCTTGATTTTAGTTTCTCCACCCATTTCGTCTTCCTTGATTTCACAATTACCCAGTCATCCTCAAATTTTTCATTTTGCATCTCTTCGTGTTCTATTTGGGATGAATTTTCCATAGCCAAAGGATTATGTCTATCAGACTCATTTGTTTTCCTGTCAGTTATATGATGTTGTGTTCCTCTCAATCGATTGGTTTTCTTTCCCTTTTTACCATACCTCTTCTTTGATCTGCCACATTTTCTTTTGTTGGTCGTACTTGATAGGGTCCTTGATTGGTTCAAATCCAAGTAACAGTGTTCATCATGATCACCAAGAAGTTCGTATCTATTGAAATGAGAAGGGATGCATACTTGATCAAACATGCGATGAGCCATGTTGTTATTTCCACAAAATGAACAAATCCAGATCAATGTCAGGTCACTCAGTCTGTCTTCACAAGGGAATCCCATACATGTCACATGAAAATGCTTACTACAACAGTCACATCTTGCATCACTTTCATTTTCTTTGATTTCATTGTTACAGATACAGCATTCATTAAGCTTTGGGTTGGTCACCAATGCACAACTAGTCAGTATATTCATGATTTCATCAAGTGTTTTCTTAAATTCAATTGTATCCATCATGGTAAATTTTGCTTATATACTTGCAACAGTTCTGGTTAATAATTACAAGTCTACAATTAACGGTTCTGTAACTTTGATATATAATGTTCTGTATATATTCCTTACTCCAATAGTCTTTTATTTAAATATTCCTATTGTGAATTATGAAAAACTAATCCTTACTGATATTAAACTCTATGGTATTTCAATAGCCTAGCTTTATATACACTAGCTTGTACTGTGTTAAGGAGCTATAATGTTTTTGTCTCAAGATGGCGTTTTTTATTAAAATTATGAGTAGGTCATTAATAGCCTAAATGTATTGTAGGCCTATATAAGTTCCCAAATTGCTAATTTCTTTGTTACTCTCTCTCTGCAAACAGGTTCACTTTATATCCTGACCAAAATATCTTTCTTATTCTCTCTCAAATCAATCAACCTCACTTATATTTTTAAAACTATATATATATCCTGACCCAATCTTCTTTCTTACTCTCTCTGCAATCAAGCTTACTTTTATTTTTAAAATTCTGAACACTATATATCGAAGGATTTCTTTCCTTTTCTCTTTACAATCAACCACGCTCACTTTTCTAGGACTCTATATATTGACACAAATTTTTTGTGATTATGGTCTTATCAAGTTCTAGGAATTAGAATTAAATTGCTTTCTCGCTGTTGTTCTTCTTTTTATTTCAGTTTGCTTTTAATTCCTTTTAGAAACTGCCAATAATTTCTTTCTAATTTACAGTAATTATGTCTTCTAAAATGGCAATACAGTCTTTCAAACTTGCAATATTGCCTTCTTCACACTATTTTGTTCAATCTTCTTTATTCTTTGCTGTGTATACGCTCTTTTTACTTTCCCAAGATTACTAATACTACTGTTTTGAATTCTAATAGAGGTCTTATCAAGTTCTAGGAATTAGAATTAGATTGCTTTTTCTCTATTGTTCTTCTTTTTTTTTCACTTTGCTTTTAATTCCTTCTAGAAACTGCCAAGATTTTGTTTCTAATTGACAGCAATTTTGTCTTCTAAAATCGTAATACAGTCCTTAAAACTTCCAATATTATCTTCAACGACTACTTTCCAATCTACTTTACTCTTTAAAATGTATACCTCTTTTTTTCTTTCCCAAGATTTACAATATTACTGCTTTCAACTGTAATTATGGTCTTATCAAGTTCCAGGAATTAGAATTAAATTCCTGTTCCTCTATTATTCTTCTTTTATTATTTCAGTTTACTTTTAATTCCTTCTAGAAACTGCTAATAATTTCTTTGTAATTGACAATAATTATGTCTTCTAAAATGGCAATACAGTCCTTCGAACTTCCAATATTTATCTTGAACGACTACTTTTCCAATCTACTTTACTCTTTAAAATGTATACCTCTTTTTTTCTTTCCCAAGATTTACAATATTACTGCTTTCAACTGTAAGTATGGTCTTATCAAGTTCCAGGAATTAGAGTTAGATTCCTTTCCCTCTACTGTTCTTCTTTTTATTTCAGTTTACTTTTAATTCCTTCTAGAAACTGCCAATAATTTCTTTATAATTGACAATAATTATGTCTTCTAAAAATGGCAATACAATCTTTAGAAATATTCTGTTCCAGTTTTGATTCGATTCAAGATTTCCAGATTCAAGTTTCATTCAGTATGTTTCAGATTCAAGGTTCAAGATAGTTCAAGTTCAAGTGCTAGTTCAAGTGTAAGTTCAAGAGCAAGTTCAAGTGCAAGTTCTTTGGAGAGTTCAAGATAGTTCAAAATAGTTCAAGATAGTTCAAAATAGTTCAAGATAGTTCAAGATAGTTCAAGTGCAAGTTCAAGTTCAAGTGCTAGTTCAAGTGCAAGTGCTAGTTCAAGTGTAAGTTCAAGTGCAAGTGTAAGTTCAAGTGCAAGTGTAAGTTCAAGTGCAAGTTTAAGTGCAAGTTCTTTGGAGAGTTCTTTGGAGAGTTCTTTGGAGAGTTCTTTGGACAGTTCTTTGGAGAGTTCTTTGGAGAGTTCTTTGGAGAGTTCTTTGGAGAGTTCTTTGGAGAGTTCTTTGGAGAGTTCTTTGGAGAGTTCTTTGGAGTGTACCACCCTCGGTCCTGCAAAAGACAGAAAGGAATAGAAAAAAAAATTAATTAAATTCAATAGACACGTCTGGGCAATTCTTGAGAAATCATCAAGGAGCTCGTAGGATAGAACCTTGTGGTACACCATTTGTTATAGACAAAAAAATTGAGGAATTATTATTATAAACTACATATTGAGATCTATTAGAAAGATTACTTTCAAACCAAAATGACAGACAAATTTTAGTGTTGTTGTTGTAGTTTCCGAGTGGTGAGTCAACACACTGATTACTGAGCTGGGAGACATTGCCAGGCATAGCGCCATAAATCGAAACTAAAAAAAAAAAAAAAAAAAAAAAATTACTCTTTCGCCGCATAGGCCGCACCCCGACTTTTTGATATTTTCTCTTCCAATAATACTGCGGCCTTTACGCCGGCAAATACGGTAGTCACATTACCCAAAATTAGCCTGCTCGGCGGCCGAGCGGCGAGTTTTTAGCCAATTTTGCCCGGTCACCGCTCGTTTTTAAGGCATCGCTCGGTCGCTGCTGAAGTTTTAGCGCGGAGTTAAAATTCGGGCGGCGCCTGCTCACTTTCACTCGCCGCCCAGACTACGCTCGGCGACCGGGTGGTCGCCGCCCGGACGCCGGCCTAATCGAGCGTGCACCGTCGAGCGATTTAGGTCAACAATCGAAGCCCCTAGGTCAAAGGCTGTCGAGCAGTCGCCGCCCGGTCGCCGCTGGAAGATTAGTCGGTCACTGGGCGGCGAGTCCAAAATAGGTCGGCAGCCTTTGACCTAGCGCCTTCGATTTTTGACCTAAATTGCTCGGCGGCGAACGCTCGATTAGTTCGGTGCCCGGGCGGCGAACGGCCAGGCACCGAGCGTATTTTGGAGCTCCGCCGATCACTGGCCGGCCGCCGGGCAATTTCTTTAAAATCAGCCGGGGGCTGGTGGGAGACCGCCCGGCAATCGGAGGGTCACCGGTCGGTCACTGCCAGGACACCGCGCGAAAAAGCTCCGCGATTTCGCCCAGTTTTTACCTAAAATCGCTCGGCGACCGGTCGCCGCCCGGACGCCGGCCTAATCGAGCGTGCACCGTCGAGCAATTAAGGTCAAAAATCGAAGCCCCTAGGTCAAAGGCTGTCGAGCAGTCGCCGCCCGGTCGCCGCTGGAAGATGAGTCGGTCACTGGGCGGCGAGTCCAAAATAGGTCGGCAGCCTTTGACCTAGCGCCTTCGATTTTTGACCTAAATTGCTCGGCGGCGAACGCTCGATTAGTTCGGTGCCCGGGCGGCGAACGGCCAGGCACCCAGCGTATTTTGGAGCTCCGCCGATCACTGGCCGGCCGCCGGGCAATTTCTTTAAAATCAGCCGGTGGCTGGTGGGAGACCGCCCGGCAATCGGAGGGTCACCGGTCGGTCACTGCCGGGACATCGCGCGAAAAAGCTCCGCGATTTCGCCCAGTTTTTACCTAAAATCGCTCGGCGACCGGTCGCCGCCCGGACGCCGGCCTAATCGAGCGTTCACCGTCGAGCGATTTAGGTCAAAAATCGAAGCCCCTAGGTCAAAGGCTGTCGAGCAGTCGCCGCCCGGTCGCCGCTGGGAGATCAGTCGGTCACCTGGCGGCGAGTCCAAAATAGGTCGGCAGCCTTTGACCCTAGCGCCTTCGATTTTTGACCTAAATTGCTCGGCGGCGAACGCTCGATTATTTCGGTGCCCGGGCGGCGAACGGCCAGGCACCGAGCGTATTTTGGAGCCCCGCCGATCACTGGCCGGCCGCCAGGCAATTTCTTTAAAATCAGCCGGTGGCTGGTGGGAGACCGCCCGGCAATCGGAGGGTCATCGGTCGGTCACTGCCGGGACACCGCGCGAAAAAGCTCCGCGAATTCGCCCAGTTTTTACCTAAAATCGACCGGCCACCGACGGGAAATCGACAGGTCACCGCCCAGGCATCGCTGGGGCTCTACAGCCTGCTCGACTTCTCCAACAATCTATCATTTGCACTAGGTGTTTAAAAACAAACAAACTTGTTCTTCTTTATCAACTCCTTACATAATTCAAGGATTCTCTTCAAATTTTGGCAACACCCAATGGAAGAGTATTGAGAATTGTCCACAAAATTATGTTACATACCTACGGAAGTGTCATAGAAAATTTCATTAAGCCATAGCTTTCCTATTCCGCGTTCAATTATGTTCCCAATTATGGAGATCTGTTTCATTCCATTGTAGCTTTATTTTAAAAACTACTTGACTTTAGCCTTCTTAAGCAGATCAACTTACTCTCTGCAACTCTCAGCAATCTTGAAAACAGTCAATAACCTGAAAGAAAAAAAGAAAAGAAGAAAAACAATTGCATTTCATAAAATACCAATATGATTATATTACAAAAATAAATACAAATAGTGAGCCCTCATTCAATGCTTAAAGATACTATGTCCCTTTTGCAGCCACAATCAAATTCTGTAGAACTTTATAGGAATTATGAATATGTCATGTATGTCCTATCTGTGAAGTTTAAACGTTAGCAGTGTCCTAATATTCAAATTATGCAAAGAAACCCGTTTACTTGCTACATTAGCTTCACTGTCAGACACTATTGAGTGACTCACTAGCTTTTTTCTTCTTTGGAAATAACATACATGTACATAAAATGAGCTGTAAAGGGTATATGAGCATTTGTCAACATCAATATCCCACTTCTGCTTGTAATGGCCAAAATTAAACTGATTGAATCTTTGCGCAGCATAAAATGTACGACCATTCGGTACAATGGTCTGAAAATCAGACCATTACTTACTGGCTCTATAGCTCTTAAGTCGATTTGACAACTAATAGTCGTTATTTTCCAACTTAAAGACATTTTCAAGCCCCCCTTTTTTTAGGGAAGTTCTAAATTAGTATTATCTTTCAAATGCTGTTGAAATTTAACCTTTTCATTTTGTTGGCCTGCAAATGGGACATAGTACCTTTGAAGGCAAAGACCAGTTTTGGTCATGCGATTGCATTGTGAAAAAAACGTTGTGGAATCGATCAGAAAAGGTTGCTCAGCTAGCATATAAGTATTGGTGTGATCTGGATCATCAAAATGATGAGATTTGACCCAGTCTTGGTAAAGTTACAAGCACTGTACACAGAAAGATGTATGTGGGACTACGCGACACACACAGAATAATAATTATTTAACTTTTGATTAACACAATAAGACTAACTAGATGGAACTTAGACTGCGTGCAGTCGAAAATGATGCCTCCGCTATAGAGCGATTTTACAAACCAAATCGGAAGCAATTTTTAATATTCAAGTTTGATTGTAATCCATTATCAAGTTTGATTGTAATCCATTATCAGGTTCTCAGAATATTTTGATTACAAGCTATTTCAGTTTGAGAGTAATGCCTCTGGCTACTTTGTAGTGGAGGCATGAAAATCGAGAATGATCTTATCTGTTTGGATTGAAATCAATCATATTGTGATGATAATTTTCATCCATCAAAGTCCTTAGTAACTACCGTTCCAAAGATGGTGAAAATAAACAAGACATACCTCCTCGTCCCCTTCCTCCGCCGAATTCTCCCCTTCCGCGTCCACCGCCGCCTCGTCCACCGAAACAGCGTCCTCCTCCTCATCCACCAAATCCACCTGTAACAAACATTGTATGTCTAGTTAGAATCCACTGTATCGTATTTGTATAATAATTAAAATTATATTATTAAAGGTATAGACCAGTTCTGGTCATGCAATTCAATTGCATTGTGAAAAGAAACGTTGTGGAATCGATCAGAAAAGTTTGATCATCTATAAGTATTGGTGTGTACTGCAAGGTTCTGGAATCATCAAAATGATACAAAATTTTGCCCAGTTTTGGTAAATTAAAAGCACTGTACACAGAAAGATGTATATGGGACTATGTGATATCTATCCAGGCCGAATCTATATTTTAACTAGATGGAATTCGACTGCGTGCAGTCGAAAATGATGCCTCCGTCATAAAGCAATTTTACAAACCAAGACAGAAGAAATTTTTCGAATTCAAATTCAATTGTAATCCATTAACAGGTTCTCAGAATATCGTGATTACAAGCTATTTTTGCATACATAATGAGCCCATGACCTTTGACCTTATGAACCAAGAATTTACTCAGTTCATTGGCTCTGCAAGTAACATACATGACCTAATTTTGTCAGGAATCCATCGGTTGGTTCTTGAGATAACGCGATCACAAGCTGTTTTTGCATACATAATGTGCGCTGTGGCCTTTGACCTTTGACCTCGTGACCCCAAAATTTAATCAATTCATCGACTCTGCAAGTAACATACATGACCTAAGTTTGGCAGCAATCCATCAATCGGTTCTTCAGATAACGCGATCACGAGCTGTTTTTGCATACATAATGAGCCCTGTGACCTTTGACCTCGTAATCCCAAAATCTAATCAGTTCATCGGCTCTGCAAGATACATACATGACCAAAGTTTGGCACAAATCCATCAATCGGTTCTTCAGATAACGCGATCACGAAAACGGGACGTACGTACGTACATACAGACGGACGGACAACCCGAAAACATAATGCCTCCGGCTACTTCGTAACGGAGGCATAACAATCAGGGTTTCATTCTCCTTTAAATGAAGTTGGGTGGGGTGGGGCAAGAGGTGGGACACATCACACACAGCACAAACCCATATCCATCGTAATTAATCATAAAT